CTACTGGTAATCATGTCGTTATCAACAGTGTGAGTGATGGTACGCTGCAGTGGAGCCTGACAGGATCAATGCAGTTTTTGGTGGGTCTTAGTTTTGGCTAGTCTGTGATGCAGAAAGAGTAAGCACTCTGCTACATAAACTATGATAACACATTTGTAATGACTCCCCAAACATTTACTATGAACATTATCAATTCGCACACACTAGACAAAAGTAAGCAGATACTGTGAAATCCTAGAATCGGTCAGACTCTGCACTGAAAGCAAGCACACTAATCACCGTCCACACCTGGGGGAAAGAAGTGTCCTATGTAACACCTTCTTATCCACCTCTTGGCTTCTGTAACCTTCTAGAAGGCATCACGCGTTAGATTGTATATAAAAGATGGACCGAAGCCTCGAACTGACCATTTTAAACATCAGCTGAACAAGTGAGGGGTCAATCTGACTGTGTTTCCCTCCGCCTTCCTACAGCTCACAGATGTGACTGCAGAGACAAAAGCAGGGAAAGGATTTGTGACCATGAACCGATTGAAGTAAATAAACACAGCTTCTTTCCCCTTGATTTCTGGGCTGGAGATCTTGCTGAGAAACTGAGGACCAAAGCAGGCTCATGTGAAAATCAAAAGGTAACCCAACGAGTAAAGCATGCTGTGATTTATCCTCAGAATCACAGGAAGGTTTTTACTGAGTCCTTAAATCAAGAAAGAGGTTTTCAAGTTTTTGTGCAGCTGCCCCCTGCTGGCCTTTGGAAAGAATGCAGGCAACACGTGCATCTTTTATATACAGTCTGTGGTAGTAAACAGGCCATTTTCAAAGTTTAGAGATCAAAACAGTAGGTTGGATTGAGGATTAAGGCTGCGTTCACACTGCAGGCGAAAGCGCATCAAATCCGACTTCTTTGACCCTCTGCGACCATCTATCCCATCATGGTGTGACAGTGTGAACGGCACAAATCTGATATTTTCAAATCTGATCTGGGTCACTTTGGTATGTGGTGCTGAATCTGATACATATCTGATGTTTCAGAAAGCTGCTGTTTGATGGTCAGGTCGCATTAACTCCGTCTTTTACGTCACTGACACAAGACAGACGCCAATTATCAGCGCCGGAGAAGACATCGCGAACACTTCCATCCAGTGAAACTGTTGGGAACAACGTTGGAGAAACGTGAACATTTTATTTGTTTAATCTGCAGATTCTGACAGAAATCTGCAGCTAGAAGCAGCACTCCTCTGAAACAGCAATAAGGATCATTATTTGGACAAATGTAAATAACTTTATAACTTAAAGCAAAACTGGGAAACGTGAAGTCTGAAGTCTTTACATTAAGACCATCAGTCAAACATACTG